TATATATGAATTTTCTGTTAGAGATTAACAGATATATTAAAAGGAGTAGTTTGCAGATTTTTGTATAACGAACAATTCAGGTTTGGGAGGCCACTAAGGAGAATGTCTATGAAATATGCATTTGTCTTCAAATTGAGAAAGGTTAAAGAATGATAGGGAGCATCACCAAAGCACACTTAATCACATCTGTGAATTTGACATCTGAATTTTAAATGACTGGAATTTGCTCCTTAATTTCTTGAAACATATATTCTATATCAGTCAATTAAATAAATAGTTTAATAGTTATTAGAAGCAACTTAAAGGTCAAAAACTGTAAGCATTTGGAATGAAGGAATAGAAGCTTAAATGAACTCGTTTAACCTCATAAGAGCACATTTTCTCTCTGAGAAAAAAATAGATAAATTGCACTCTAACTTCATTTCATTGACTTAAAATAGGTCTCAATATTCTGTCGTTTTTCTTCACTCCCCAACAACTTCAGATAGCAACAGTTTTCTTGTAAGTGATTTCTAAAGAAAGATATGGAAGAAATTGTCTCAGAAATATTTTATTTGTGGGTAGGTAATTTTATTTCCTTGCTGTATATTCCATTTTCCCAGCATACTTGATTGACGGTGCATATTTACAACATTTTTGGCCATCATTTAAATAATAACTTTGATTTGCTTTTTAACTTGATAAATTGATCAACACTATGACTACATAACATTTTTCCTCTGGTAGACTACTGTGATGTCAACAGCATTATTTGGTGCTATGCAAAAATAATATACTTCCCAAGAAGAATATTGATTTCTTCAAAGTTGAATGTCATTAATGTCTTATAGAAGCCTTCAGAGAATGTTATCTAACTGTAATTAATTTGGGCTCCAGTAGTTCATAACACGTTATTATGAACTTTCACTGAGTTAATCTGCTTATTTCATACTATTTCTTTGGAAAATAGTTGTTTAGGCTAATTAAATGGCATTGATACTATTAAGGGATACTGTATAGTCCATTAAAGAAAACATGATTAAAGCAATATTTGACCAACTTTTAAATAGAAGCATTTAGAATATTAATGGCAATTCAGTTTCCTGTGAAATTATTTAATATTCACTAGTAGTCTGTAGATTTTTATGTACCTAGATATAGAACAATGAAGTTTATGAAAAAATTATTTTAATTAAAACTAGGATTAAAAAACCAGGATTTTAACCAAATTATTTTGAATTACTAACTTTAGAAACATTTAGCTAGGGACGCCTAAGTGGCTCAGCGGTTGAGTGTCTGCCTTTGGTTCAGGGCCTGATCCCAGAGTCCTGGAATCGAGTCCCGCATCAGGCTTCTTGCATGGAGCCTGTTTTTTCCTCTGCCCATGTCTCTGCCTCTCTCTCTCTCTCTCTCTCTCTGTCATGAATAAATAAATAAAACCTTTTTTTTAAAGATTTTAAAGTGCTAAACTGCTGAACCACCCAGGCATCCCAATAAAACCTTTTTTTAAAAAAGAAACATTTAGCTAAAAAAATAAATAATAAATAATAAAAAAGAAACATTTAGCTAAACACATTGTTTATTCATAAATTGTACACAAACACATATATTGTGGACACTCTACTGTCTACCAAATTGGGTAAAATAATCACATTTAGTAGCTCTGAATATATGATTTCATCTTACTGTAGCTGGTAAATAGTTGTTGTTTTTGTAAATCATAACTGTTACTAACTATAGCAATAATCCTTACTTAAAAAAGTTATTTTAGGGCAAATAATATTAATGAATTTCTGGTTATTTATTGTCAAAACTTTGGACCAATTTGGTAAAGGCTGTATTCAATTAGTATTAATGTTGTCTTTTATTCATCACAAATCAATTAGTTAAGTGATAAAATGCAAAATAAATTGTGGGCTATTGTCTAGGTGAATTTTTGAGAGAAGCTCTAAAGTTATATTGAATTACCTATATTTTATAGTAAAATATCATTAAAGTAACAATATTACATTGCTTTATCAGATTTTTGGGGAAGTATTTTATGTGAAATATTATCTGTCCATCTAAATGATTATGTCATGATACTATACATAGAAATTTCTAAAGACTCCTTACTGAAAACCTAGTAGAAGTAATAAATGGACTAAATTTGCAGGAAACAAAATTAATATGCAGAAATCAGTAGTGTTTTTAAATGCTAATGACATTAGCAGAGAGCGAAATTAAGAAAACTATTTCATTTACAAACACACCAAAAAGATGAAATACCTAGGAATAATTTTTAAAGATATTCATTTATTATTTATTTGTGTGAGAGAGAGCACAAGAAAGGGGAGCTACAGAGGTAGAGGGAGAAACAGGCTCCCCACTGAACAGGGAGCCCAATGCTTGGCTAAATCTCAGGACCCTGAAATCATGACCTGAGCTGAAGGCAGACACTTAACCAATGGAGCCACGCATTTGCCCCTACCTAGGAATAAACTTAGCCAAAGAGGTGGAAGACATATACTCTGAACACTATAAAACATCGATGAAATTATCTGAAGGCAATGTAAATACAAAGATATCCCATGCTCATGAATTAGAAGAATTAATATTGTTAAAATGTCCATATTCTCCAAAGCCATGTACAAATTCACTGTAACTCTTATCAAAATAACGACATCATTTTTCACATAACTAAAACAAAGAATCCTAAAATTCGTATGGAACCACAAAAGAACCCAAAGAGGCAAAGCAATCTGGAAAAAGGAAAATCAAAGCCAGAGATATCACAATTTGAAATTTCAGGATAAACCACAAATCTGTAGTAATCAAAACAGTATGGTACTAGCAGAGACATAGATCAATGGAACATAATAGAGAGCACAGAAGTAAACCCACATTTATATGGTCAATTAAACTATGAAAAAAGGGGCAAATATACAATGAAGAAAAGATACTCTCTTCAATAAATGGTACTGGGAAAATGGCACCTACACATGAAAGAATGGAATAGAACCACTTAGTAATACCATACATAAAAATATATTAAAAAGTGGTTAAAGACCTAAATGCAAGACCTAAAACCATAAAAACCCTAGAAAAGGACAGAGGCAGTAATTTCTCTGACATCAACCTTAGCAACATTTTTTCTACATATGTCTCCTAAGGCAAAGGAAAGAAAAGCAAAAATAAACTTTTGGGACTATGTGTAAAATACAAAGCTTTTGCACCACAAAGGAAACTATCAACAAAACCAAAGGGCAACCTACTAAAATGGGGAAGGTATTTGTAAATGGTATATCCCACAAGGGGTTAATATCCAATATACATAAAGAACTTAAACAAATCAACAGCAAATAACGATCTGATTTGAAAACGAGCAGAGGACCTGAACAGACATTTTTCCAAAGAAGACATACAGATGGTCAACAAACACATGCAAAGATGCTCAACATCACTCACCATCAGGGAAATGCAAATCAAAAAGACAGTGAAATACCACTTCCAACCCATCAGAATGGCTAAAATAAAAAACAAAAGAAACAACATATGTTGGTGAGGATGTGGACTTGTGCACTGTTGGTAGAAATGCACATTTGCAGCCACATTGGAAAACAGTATGGAGCTTCCTCAAAAAAGTAAAAATACAACTACCTGTGACCCAGTAATCACACTACTGGATATTTAACCAAAAACAAAACACTAATTTGATAGGATCTTATTGTATAAACCCTAATGAAGGGTTTGAGAGAAGCATTATTTACAATAGCCAAACTATGGAAGCAGGTCACGTGTCCATTGATAGACAAATGGATAAGGAAGATGTGATTTTATATGTATAATGTGATTTTCATATATATAATGGAATATTATTCAGACATAGTACAGAAAGAAATCCTGGAGTGCCTGGGTGGCTTAGTTGGTTAAATGTCTATTGATTTTGGCTCAGGTCATGATCTCAGGGCCATGAGATTGAGCCCTGTGTCAGGCTCCATGCTCAATGTGGAGTCTGCTTCTTTCTTTCTCCCTTTCCCTGTGCCCCTCACTCTGTTCTCTCTCTCTCTCTCTCTCTCTCTCTCTCTCTCTCTCTCTCTCAAATAAATAAATAAATAAATAAATAAATAAATAAATAAATAAATCTTTTCTAAAAAAGAATGAAGTCTTGTCATTTACAACAACATGGACGGAGGTAGAGAGTAAAATGCTAAGTGAAAAATGTCAGAGGAAGACAAATACCATATGATTTCACTCACGTGTAATTTAAGAAACAAAACAAATGAGCAAAGGAGGAACAAGAGAGAGAAGCAAAGCAAGAAACAGACACTTAGCTATAGAGAACAAATTGATGATTACCAGAGGGGAGGTGTATGAGTGAATGGGTGAAGTAGGTGATGGAGATACGTTTGATTACATTTGATGATAGGAGTACACTTATCATGATGAGCACTGAGTAATGTATGGAATCGTTGAATCACTATATTGTACACCTGAAATGAATATAACACTATATGTTAAGTATACTGATAAGACAATTTTAAAAATTAATAAAATTCTTTAAAACTTAAAATATAAATAAGTTGAAAAACCATGTTCAGAGATTGGAAGACTTAATATTGTTAAAGTGCAGTAATTCACAAATTGATTTTCAAATTAGACACAATCCCTATTGAAATCCATGCTGAAATTTTGGAGAAAGTAGAGAAATTGCAATATTCATATGTTGCTGGTGGTAATGTAAAATTGTGCAGCCTATTTGAAAAAAAGTTTGACAGTTCCTCCGAAGTTAAACATAGAGAGTGACCTGCTGAGTAATAAAGGTTTGTGGAGTCGCTTTGTTTCTTTCCTTTTGGTTTTGTTTTGTTTTTTGTTTTTTTTTTTTTTTTGTTTTGAAAGCAGAACCGAGCTGACAGTCTTCCTGGGGGAAGGCAAGGGCAAGTTAAAATCCACCTCCAGCTCCGCGGGGAATGAAGATGCTGAGCCTCATTCCTGTCAGCAGGTGTGAGTCAGACACGCTGGGAGCAGCAAAATTGAGTCAGGGTTGATGTCCATTTCTGCGGAGTTAATTTTGCTGATGTTTTGGTCTGTCGTGGTCAGTATCAGGAAAAACCCCAACTTCCTTTCACACCTGGAATGGAGTTTTCTGGGATTGTATTGGAGACAGGCGCAGATGTCAGCACAGTGAAAGAGGGAGATCGAGTTATTGGCGTGAGTGGCTTTAATGGTATGGCTGAAGAATGCATCATTGACCAAAAGACACTGTGGCAGATTCCAGAAGGAGTCTCCCTCCAAGAAGCCTCTACCCTGCCTGTATCCTATGGCACTGCTCTTTTGGCTCTGGAGCATCGGGCATGCACTCAGCCTGGAGAAACTGTTTTAGTGACGGCAGCTGCTGGAGCCACCGGCCTTGCAGTGATTGATGTGGCAACGAATATTCTTCAGGCTAAGGTGATAGCTGCCGTTGGAAGTGACGAGAAGTGCCAGCTTGTGATGCAGAAGGGCGCGCAATCCGTCGTGAACTATAGTCAGGGCGGCCTGAAGGAGGCTGTGAGGAAGCTGGTGGGCAGTGTTGGGGTGAATGTGGTCATCGACACAGTGGGAGGAGATGTCTTCCTGGAGGCACTCCGCAGCCTGGCGTGGGAGGGCAGGATCGTGGTGGTGGGTTTTGCTGGAGGAACCATTGCTTCTGTGCCCGCCAACCTTTTGCTCCTGAAGAATGTCTCAGCCATGGGGCTGTACTGGAGCCGATACAAAGAGCAGAACTTTCCCATCTTCTCCAGAACCCTGTCCTCGGCTCTTCAGTACTGCCAGCAAGGGCGCATCCAGCCACACATCGGAGCAGTTTTTAAGCTGGAGAAGGTCAATGATGCCTTCCTTCATGTGATACAGCGCAAATCCACCGGCAAGGTGCTTATCTCCCTTAAATGAATCCTCGCCTCAGCAGCAAACTCAGCATGTCCAAATCCAAATTCATCATCTTTCCAAAAAACCTCATTTCCCTCCTGTGTTTCTAAAGGTGTTACCACTTTCCTTATTAATCCAGGTTCAAAGTCTTTTAGAGTCACCTTTGATTCTGTTTTCTTATTCCTCGTAATTAGTGTGACATATCCTTTATTGTCCTAACTTGGATGTCTGAATGTGAAAGGATGCTATTTGTAATTAAACCAGGGAAGCCAGGGTCCCAGGCAAAGCAGGCTGTATGGTCATCCTGTTCATAATGCATCAATGGCCAGGTTCTGTCATCCCAACCTCTAAGAGAATCTCTCACATCCATATCCTCTTTCCCATTCTGCCTAATTATGTCTCATTTGCTAACTGGCTTTAAACTACCGCCCCACTCCTCCATCTTTGTTATACATTGTTGCCATGGTGACCTTCCCAAAGGACAGCTGTGACTGTTTTTTGACTCAAAACCTACAATGGCTTCCCACTGTCTACATGGTGGAGTTCAGACTCTTCGAGCTAGCCTTTCTTTATGCCCTTGATTGTGCCTGCTCTGCCTCGCAGCCTTATGTCACACAACACCTCGGCCTCTCTGTACACACTTACAGAGATTCCTGCCAATCTTCCTTTGCTCTGCTCAGGCGGTTTCCTCTACTTCCTTATCTTTGTCAAACATAAGCCCTCCTGACCTCCAAGGTTGGCCTGTCGCCTCAGGAGGGTGCTTAATTCTTCCCTTCCACCTTCCTGTAGCTTTTCTCTCAGGATTTGTCACATTCTGTCTTGCACCAAAAGGAGCAGCTGGTCTAATAGAATGAACACAGGATTCTGTATCTAAGATGTGGGTTTGAATCCCAGTCTCACCACTTCAGAGGTGGTTACCGAAGCTCCACGAGCCTTCATTTTCTCACTGGAAAGTAGATATTATAGTATCTACCACATAATGTTGCCATGAGCCATACATGCAGTGATGGGGCAAAGTACCTGGTGTGTGGTAATCTATTAGCAAATGCTAGTCACTTTTCCTTCTTTTTCTCCTCTCCCAATGTAGCGTTAAGTTCCTTGAGAGTAGGTACTATGTCTGATTCACCTTTGTATCTCCCACAATACCTAGCACAGTGAGTTACCCTTATTAAACACTCAATAAATTGAATTAATTTTAAATTATATACAAGTCTAAATTGTGGGAATAAGTTAAGAATACATTACCTTGGTAACAAGCCAAATGTCCATCCCAGAGGAATGGGTATACCGAATGTGGAATAGCTAAACAATGGAATATTAACTGGTCTTTAAAAGAAAGGACATTCTGACCCATGCTACAACATGGATGAACGTTGAAGACACTATGCTAAGTGACATAAGCCAGTCACAAAAGGATGAATATGGTTTGATTCCACTTACGGGAAGTACTGAGAAGAGTCAAATTTCTAGAGATAGAAAGTAGAATAGTGGTTGCCAGAGCCTGGGGGTAGGGTGGGCGACAAAATGGGGAGTCATTATTTAGTGAGTACAGAGTTTCAGGTTGGGAAAACAAAAGTTTTTGAGATGGATGGTGGTGATGGTTGCATGACAATGCGAATGTACTTAATGTCATTGAACTATACATTGAAAAATGGTTAAAATGGTCATTTAAAAAATCTTATGTATGTTTTACCACAATAAAAATGTAAAAAAAAAAAACCAAAAAAAAAGAAGTTAAACATAGAGTTGTCATATGACCCAGCAACTCCAATTGTGCATGTACGGCCCCCAGACAAATAAGGCAAAAATGTTTACATAGATGTTCATAATAGCATTTAACCAAAATGTGGAAACAACTCAAATGTCCATTGACCAATGAAGAAATAAAATGTGTTATAGACCTACAGAGTATAATCTTTAGCAATAAAAAAGAAGTATTAATAGATGCTACCACCTAGATAAGACTCAAAAACCTTATGCTAAATGGAAAATGTCAGTCACAAAATACTTCATTTAAAGAATTCCATTTATACTACATGTCCAGAATAGGCAAATTTATAGAAGAAAAACATAGGTTAATGGTTGCTTAGGAATGTGAATTTGGGGTGACAAATGGGCAGTGACTGCTAATATATATCAGGTTTTTCATTTAGGGTGATAAGGATGTCTCAAAATTGGCTGTGGTGATAGTTGCAAAATTCTGCAAATATACTAAAAACTATTGAACTGTTCACTTTTGGTGAATTTTAGGGTATGTTAATTATGGAAGAAATAAAGCTATTTAAAATAAAAAAGAATGACATAGGAGAGAGGAAGATGATGGTGGAGTAGGAGGACCCCAGGCTCATTTCGTCCCATTGAACACAACTAGATAACTAGCAAATCATCCTAAATACTCCAGTTATTGACTGGAAGAACAAACTCCATAACTAAAGGGAGAGAAGGTCATGATGCCCAAGTGGCCTAGTGGTTGAGCATCTGCCTTCAGCTCAGGTAGTGATCCCAGGTATCGAGTCCTGCTTCGGGGAGTCTGCTTCTCCCTCTGTCTATGACTGCCTCTCCTTCTGTGTCTCTCATGAATAAATAAACACAATCTTAAAAAATAATAAAAATAAAGGGAGAGAAGTTCTCATTAAACAAGGTTTGGAAGTGTGGAGACCTGGTTTAGGGGAGAAGTGGATTATAGGTGCTGTGTAGGGTAGGGAGCCATTGTCATGGAGAAATACCAGAAAAAGGGAATCACACAGTAGAACATACAAGAGGAATGCTACCCCAGAGCCATTGGCTTGGGAAATGAGGGGACCTGAATTTGTTGAGTTCTTGCAATAAGTGGAGTTGAAGTCTTAAATTCCGGAGCCTTGGCTGGAATAGAGTCCAGAGGGCATTGCCCTTCTCCTGAAGAGAAGGCAAGCAAACAACCCCAGTTCACACAGCATGAAAATAAAAATCTTTACAGTGTTGGGGGGCACAGAAAGCAGAGATTATTTGCTCTTCTCATATATTCACCATGAGAAGTAGTGTCCAAGGAAATACCTCTCCTGCAACAAAGGAGCTGGGTAACGCCATTTCCATCCCCCCCCCAACACACACACATGCACTCATCTCAGTATAAATACAGATGAACATGCAGGAAGTAACTCTGTATGAACACTGGATGCCTAACTTGTTTACACCAAGCCCTACCTCCCATGCTTTGGCAGGACTGCCCTTCTTAGTCAATATTTCCTCGGTCCCAGCGCTGCAGGTCCATACCAAATAGATAAGTGCAAAACCTTCTCCAAGTCACATCTCCCAACCAGAGTTTTGTAGGTCCTCAGTTCTGGTAGAAGTGGCATGAGGTCTAATTTCAGAAGCAGACCAGAGCACATATACTTAATACCCACCAATTTAAGGCCGGGGAATAAGCTGATCACAGCAGGCAAATGGCCTGAAGGATAAAGCAGTGAAAACACAGCAGAGTGCACAGAGTACACCTCTGAGACACTCCTTGAAGCATCAGGCTCTAGTCACTACATGAATTCTTCATTAAGGCCATAATATGGCTTTTCCAACACAGAGAAAAAGGCAGGGACATAGCAAAAGTGCCAAGATAGCGGAATTAATCCCAGTTAAAGAGCAAGATAATGACACTGCCATATATCTAAGTGAAAAATATTTATGAGTGACATTATTGATGGAGAATTTATTTATTTATTTTTAATTTTAAGTAAATGTAATTAACACAGTGCATTATTGGTTTCAGGGGTAGAATTTAGTGATTCATCGGCTGCATATAATACACAGTGCTCATTACATCAAGTGCCCTTCTTAATGCCCACCACCCAATCACCCCATCACCCACTCACCTCCCCTCCAGCAACCCTCAGATTGTTCCCTATAGCTAAGTCTCTTACGGTTTGCCTCCCTTTATATTTTTATCTTATTTTATTTTTCCTTCCCTTCCCTTATGCTCATGTTTTGTTTCTTAAGTTCCACATATGAGTGAAATCATGTATTTGTCTGAATGTCTTATTTCGCTTAGAATAATACCCTCTAGTTCCATCTATGTTGTTGGAAATGGCAAGATTCCATTGTTTTGATGGCTGAGTAATGTAAAATTATAGATAGATGATAGCTAGCTAGATAGATATATTGATATAGGTATATATCTATAGATAGATAGATGATAGATATAGCTTCTTTATCCATTCATCTTTCAACGACATCTTAGCTTGTTCCACAGTTTGGTTATTGTGGACATTGCTGCTATCAACATTAGGGTACATGTGCCCCTTCAAATCATTATGCTTCTATCTTTTGGACAAATACCTTGTAGTGCAATTACTGGGTCATAGTTCTATTTTTAACTTTTGAGGAACCCACATGCTATTTTGCAGAGTGGCTGCACCAGTATGCATTCCTTTAACAGTGTAAAAGAGTTCCCCTTTCTCTGCATCCTTGCCAACATCTGTTTTTTTCCTAGGTGTTGATTGAAGCCATTCTGACCAATGTGAGGTAGTATCTCATTATGGCTTTGGTTTGTATTTTCCTGATGATGAATGATATTGGGCATTTTTTTCATGTGTCTATTGGCCATGTGTATGTTTTCATTGGAGAAATGTCTGTTCATGTCTTCTGCCCATTTCTTGACTAGAGTTTTTGGTTTGGGGGTGAAAAGTTTGATAAGTCATTTATAGGTTTTGGATCCTAGCCCTTTATCTGATATGTCATTTGAAAATATCTTCTCCCATTCCATATGTTGCCTTTTGGTTTTGTTGATTTTTTCCCTTACTGTGTAAAAGCTTATTATCCTGATGAAGTCCCATTAGACATTTTTTCTTTTTTTTCCCCTTTGCCTGTGGAGAAATGTCTAGCAAGAAGTTGCTGTGGCCGAAGTCAAAGAGATTGCTGCCAGTGTTCTCCTCTAGGATTTTAATGGGTTCTGTCTTACATTTAGGTCTTTCATCAATTCTGAATTTATTTTTGCATATGGTGTAAGAAAGGAGTCCAGTTTCATTTTTCTGAATGTGGCTGTCAAATTTTTCCAACAACATTTATTGAGAAGACAGCCTTTTTTCTATTGGATATTCTTTCTTGCTTTGTCAAAGATTG